TTTCGAGTTTCAGATGCCGATGAATGTATAACACCTTATAGAACAAAAAGTTTTGCTCTCCTGATTTTCAGCTTTAGCATCATTATTGTATATATATTGAACTATAGTTTTCGAAAGTTTTATCACTTTTTGTTTATAATTGACATTTTTACAGCAACTTAAAAAAATTGGCGTTTTATACCGTTTTTTCAATCTCACGGTTTTGTTATTGCAAATTTCGTAATCGGACCACCGCCATTTTGTAGCTATTTTTATTACGAATAAAATCTTGTCCTAAGTATTTTTTCGTACTAAGTCATCCCACTGAGTTATTTAAAGAAAACTACTAAAAAAATTTTTTCACGATTAAATTGTTAATAACTTTTTTCCTGATAAAATACTTTGGTTATTGTACTCATCATTTAAAGTATTCCTGTGTAGTTATTTCCGAGTTATCAAGGAAATGTCACCATCAGTAACTTTTCGGCCTCTGGCGACTGGACTATTATCATGTATTTGCTTTGAGATTGTAAATTATGTAAAAAATACTTTATTTCACTTATGGGATATCAATCGAGTATGACGCTCATTGCGTAGGTAAATAACTATCAACCTTCTTAAATGTAATACATATTTAAAAAATAGCCCATCCCTGCATGGTGTACTAATAATCATACCTATATTGCGTTGTTTGTCGATGAAAGTAAAAGTGAAATTTTGAAAAAAAAACGGCGGATACAACTTTCAGTTTCTTTGATATATAATTAGATGAATGTATTCACAATATTTAAATATTTACTGGAGACTTTAACTTTCCTTGATTTTACTAGGCTCATTAATGCATTTGATAAACATCACACTTATGGATGAAAGTTGATTAGATAGTTGCTGTAGGAATCATATATTTTTCATAATACCATGAAAATTTTTTCATCACTATTTAGTTTTAGTACACTATAAATAAATCGGTCTGAGTGAAAGCAAAAAATGAAATTATTGAGTACATTTTCAGTTAATATTGGGCATTTTGATAATTTTACATAATATTGATAATATTTGAATTAAAACTGATAAATTCACTCATAAAATTTTAGTTGTACTCATATTAATAAAGTGAAAATTTCACTCAATCAGGTGTGGACAGAAATTATTGAGTAAAATTGAGTAAAAATAGGTCCAATTTTTCTTACAGTGTACCTAGACTTTTTCAGCAGTTTAAATATAACAAGTACTTTGTGTGAAAGGTAAAAAATACTACCTTTTAAATTTTCTTAAAATTCTTCATTCTCTAATATAATACAAAGTTTCATATCTTATAATTTTTTAATTTATACTTTTAAGTAGATTAGTTTTAAGACATAATATCTAATTGTAAGTGGATTTTTACAAAAGCAGAACTAAGCCATTTTTTAAGAATTTCCTACTCTGAAATGACATTCTAACCTGTTTTGAATTGTTAATGTGCGCCTACACACCATTACGGTACAACTAAGATAAGAAGCAATTATTTGCTACTCGAAGCTGAAGAAATATATCTGAGCCAAGAACTTGTTTTACATTTTTATTGAAATATGTTGACCACAGGATGGCAAGGATGTTGCAAAAAAATAAAAGTCTTGAAACAAGACTAATAATGTATATACCGGGTGATTTTTTTAATCTGAAACTTTCAGATATCTCGAGCAATATGCACTCTACGAAAACTATGTATATAATCAAACTTGAATCGCTCCACGGAGGGAATACATAAGTCCTAAAATTAATCTATACAGCAACAAACAGCAACTCATCAATAATGTCATGTACACAGGAAATCACTATTTATAACGTTTTACTATAAATGATACTTCATTTATCTTTTTTATACAGTGTTCTAGGAATATTATATATCTAAATTACAAAGAAACAAAGTAATTTCGAATAGATACAAAGTGACTGATCTTATATTTAATCTTAATTAAATTAAAAAATACATTTTAACTGAAGTCTCTTTTCATGACAATATTTACAGAGTGCGTATTAGTGTAGTTGATCTACACCATATTTAAAACATGATTATCGATTTTAACATTATTTGATTTGTTGTAGTTACATTGTATTGAAATTATTAATTCTTTGTTGCAGGAACACTCGTCCCTCATAGGCAACGACGACAACCTGGGCCCCGTGCTCCTCTCCATCAAGACGGAGAACGTGGCCAACCAGGAGCACACCCGTATCCTCCTGCGGCTCCGCACCGGAACCATGCACGAGATAGTCCCGTCCTCGTGCTTAGGTTCCAGCCCCAACCCGGCCAAGATGGCCAAGCTGCTCAACGAGCAGCTCAACATTGAAAACTTTGTACCTGTTCTGCATCCCAAAGCCTCCCAGTTGATAGCCAACTACGACGAGCACGTCCTCGTCACGAACTTCAAGTTCGGCGTCCTCTACCAACGGTACGGACAAACTACCGAGGAGGACCTCTTCTCCAATAGCGACACCAGCCCCGCTTTCGACGACTTCCTCTCGCTGCTCGGACAAAGGATACAACTCAAGGATCACAAAGGTTACAGGTAAGTCCTCTTCTGAATCTATTTAACGTATCTCCAAAGAGTCCCGAAACACTGTAGCCAATTCTGTCTTATTCGTTTGATAGTTTAATCTTACAAAGTGCAAAAGTCTGTGGATTTTAGTTAGTTCTATCATAGAGAAAGGTTTCTTAAGCAGCCAGAATCTCATTCATGCCAAACTCTTGCAACGCAACTTCTTCCGTGTCTTGCAATTTCTTTAACATTGAAGGAATGCCAAAAGCTGGCTCTGCTCCTAGGAATCCGTTGCAGATCCTTTGTTGCAACATTATCTGCCTTTTTGTTTCCTTTAGTGTCTTTATATCATGGAACCCTAACCATGCACTTTGTGCTAGTGTTTGCCAGTTCATTTAGCAATTATAAACAGTCTCAAATAAGTTTTAAAGGTACAAGGCATATCCACGAAGTAAGAGTACTGAAACTCTGATACTCGGTGGTGTTTGTTTTCGACAAAGATGTTGGGTGCAGAAAGCGCGCTCACTTGTCTCAGTCAGTTGAGAACTGTTGTAATGGCATATTGAAATGAATGCAGCTATTCCGAATCCCGCCAACTACTTCAGGTAAAGAACATGATCCAGTTTCTTATTGCAAAGGGAACGGTGCCGTTCCAGATCGTTACTGATGAGATGATGAACAAAATCAAAAAAATTCTTCGTGGCGACCGTCGATTGACTTTGGACGAGATGAATGCAGTGTTTCCACAAATCTCCAGATCTCTTCTACATGAAATCATTACTGAAACACTTGGTTATTGAGAAAGTGTGCGTGCTGGGTATGTACCAATACAGCTTAGTGATCAACACAAAGCCAACAGAATCGCATCTTCACGGGAATATCTCGAGCGCTTCGAACTGGAATTCCTTGACTGTATTGTGACCGGCGAGGAAACTACACCTCTGAAACGAAAAGACAATCAATGCAGTGGCGACATCCGTCTTCACCATCAGCGAAAAAATTCAAAACCGTTTCGGCTCGAAACATCATGTCAACTATGTTTTGGGACCGTAAAGGCATTCTCCTCTTGACTTTTTGCTCCAGGGGGGAAACTATTAATGCTGTGAGATACTGTGAGAACACTACGGAGGGTGAAACAGAACAAAAGAAGGGGAATGTTAACGAAGGAAGTATGCTTGTTGCAAGACAATGCACGCAGTCAAAGCCACAAAGCAACTCTTGGATTCATTTGGTTGGAACATCGTCAACCACCCCGCCCACAGCCCTGACATGGCACCTTCTGATTTTCATCTTTTCCCTTAAGGTGGGTGGAAAAAGGTTTTCTACCGACGCGACGATGAGGTCCACAATGCCGTAAAACAATGGGCCTGAGAAACGACGGGAGATTTTTTTGACAAAGGCATCAGAAAGGCGACTTGTATTTTGTAAATAATTCGATGCCAGGAAATTTGATTTTCTTTTTTTTTTAAGGTAGAATATAGAACCATAGATAACCACACAAGAGATAATTTTCTTACATCTGCATTCTTGAAAATGAATTCATTTAAGATAAAAAAAAATCGTTAATCGTATCAGTACCAAAATTAATACATAGGTATTTAAGTTTTGTTCATTTAATTTATTTTTTATTGCAGGGGTGGTTTGGACATCCAAAACGGTCACACGGGAGACACGGCGGTCTATGATGTCTTCAAGGAGAGGGAGATCATGTTCCACGTGTCCACACTCCTGCCGTACACGGAGAACGACCCGCAGCAGTTGCAGAGGAAGAGGCACATCGGGAACGACATCGTGGCGATCGTTTTCCAGGAGGAAAACACGCCGTTTTCGCCCGACATGATAGCGTCCCATTTCTTGCACACCTTCATCGTCGTGCAAGCCATCGATCCCAACTCGTCTAATACAAGGTAGGATTCTAGGTCTTTTTAAAAAACTAACTAGTAATAAATTATTCAAAATAAAACTCAAAACGATACGTTTAAATATAATTAATATAAAAACACGTTACCGTATTGAGATTGATCAATAATGTGATCATTGAAACCATTTTGCATAATAGGCTTCTTGCAGAAAAAAATATTTTAATAGTTTTCGTATCTACACTGAATACTACAAACAGTGTGTAAAGATTTTGTTATATCAATTTATTTTTAAAACATTATTAGATATTAAAGTTTTAATCGGTTGACGTCATCGGTAAGTAAATGGCAAGCGCGACATATACGCGTTTCGACAGTGCAGCTGACTGCTTTGGTTATTAAATGTGTGGAGTGGTGTCAATAAGCAGTACGATACCTTATAACGAGCGTTCAAATAAAAACGTGGTCGAAGTTGGCTCTGACACATTGGACGTAGGGAGTAGCTTATAGCGACCAACTTAACCTCATTTCTCAACGAGCTGTATAGCAGCTGTCAGTTTCAATAACGTTAATGACTATATAACTTTATTTTAAAGAATAATCGTGATAACAATAACAAACAATTAAAGGAGCTGC